CGTCGGGCTCTCCTTCAGTGATGAAGCTCCACTTCTAGCCACCTGAGCATAAGTCCGGACATTTAACTCGGGCGCCGGTGCCGGACTGTCCTCGATCTCTTTGGCTGCAAGCTTTTCCTCCAGGCTTCGGTTATCGAGTCCTGAGAATCTCAGTTCTTCCCTCATCTCCTCAGCCTTCCTGTTTGCTGCGCCGCTGGCTCTCCTCCTCACCGTAGGCTGCAAGCCCATCGCCAGAAGGGTTGTATAACGGCCCTCGGAGGTGTCAATGCTCGTTCAATACATAAGGGCCTTCTAAGAAGAAGAAAAGGAAGGTGCAGAGGAGACCAATTGTAGAAAGCTCCTCTAGCTCCTCGGAAGAGGTTTTCAAGGGAGGCTCCAATGGTGTGATCCCGTCGTAACGACGACACTATGCCGCTGGATGCCCCCCCACCGGTTTTGAGACCTCCGATAGGAGGAATCAGAAAAGAACTCGACGAAGACCTGGCCAAGCTCAATTTGAGGACCGGAAGGGGAGGAGGCCTACAAGGCGCTATCCAGGGGGATAGAATACTTCCTGGAATGTAGGCAAAGGGTGCAGGAAGACAGAGGTTCGTGGGTTCCCAAAATGGAGAATCTCGTACAGATCCTCTGTCCCCCCTCTGCTCCGATTCCTACGGAAGGGAAGGCGCTAGCCGATCCGACCGAGGAAAGAAAAATGGGAGCAAGCCAGAACCCAGCTCCAATAGGAAACAAGAGGACGGAGGCGGAGAAGAAGAGGGAGAAAAAGAAGAGGAAGGCCGCCAATAAGAAAAGGAGGCGGGCCCAGGAGAAGCTCCAGGCAGCCAGAAAGGAGGAAGGTCCTCCCTCAAGAAGGATGGAGCTCCCTAACAAGGAGAAGAAGCCCCAAGGCGAGGGCAAACCGAAGAAGGAGAAAGGGGTTGGCCGAACACCAGGCCAGAGGCGGGAGGAGAGAGGTCTCCCTCCCTCTCTCCCTCCGACCGTATCTCAACCTATCTCTGTTCCAGGAGAGACATGGAGCAAGGTGATCGGAAGGGGGGAAAAGAACAAGGCGAAACAGGAGCTGAAGAGGAAAGAAGCGGCTCCTCGACAACAGGCCTCCGGTCCCAGATGGGGAGGGCCAAAAGTGGTGGGAGTGGTGCCAAAGCCGCCTAAGTCAGCGGCCGTCACCATAACATGCCCTGAGGGGTCTTACAAAGATTTTATGACCGAAGCCAGGCGCCGGATCAATCCGGAGGAGCTGGGAATCCCGGGGGTCTTGCGAATTCGCGCGGCCCGAACGGGTGCCCTGCTAATCGAGGTGCTTGGCCTCGGCTCAGGGCCCTCCGCCGACCGACTTGCCGAGGAGCTCGGCAAGTTGGCGGCGGAGAAGTGCCCCGACTATCGCGTCCAAAGGCTGGTGAAGATCGCATCTGTGCGTATCACTGACCTGGACGCGACGGTCGGGGCAGAAGAGGTGGCGGCTGCAATGGCCAAGGCTGGGGGATGTCTGCCCGCGGAAGTTTCCGTGGGCAGGTACAACCTCACCCAAAGAGGACTGGCCTCAACAGTGGTGCGGTGCCCGCTCGCGGCAGCCAGTAAGGCAGCCGCGACGGGGCGGGTCCGGATTGGCTGGACCCGCGTCGGGGTGATGGTGCTGCCCGCCGGCGCCGAGTTCTGCTTCAAATGCTTGGAGCAGGGCCACATGCGTGGGCGGTGCGGGAACGCCGTCGACCGCAGCGATGCCTGTTATCGTTGCGGTAACCCCGGCCACCACGCCAAAGAATGCGAGGCGGTAGCGGCCCACTGCCCTGTCGCGCGGGACTGGGAAGGAAAGCCGACCACAAGGTCGGCGGTCCTTCCTGCCGCCCCCTCACTGGGAAGGAGAGGAGGCAAAGGAGGAAAATGGAGACCAGACCCGGAACAGACGGGGGGCAACTGGGGCCGCCCCCCCCAGCCAACGCTAAGGACGGGTCAACCTCCTCCACTGAGAAGGAATCAGGAGATAGGGGAGAGAATGGGCAGACCTCCCCCCCAACGAGGGAGGAGAATCCAACGACGGCGGAGGCGGTGCTTGACCGCGTCCTGGACCCCGTCGCCATGAACGTTCCAGAGGAGGTGAAGCCCCGGCGAGAAAAAAGGAAACACGGGGCGATGGAGGCGGCGATACCAACGGCGGAGTCTGGAGAGGAGGGGACCTTGACGTGGAGCTCGTCGCCATCCCGGGAGGATCAGGTGAGGTGGGTGGATGCGAAAGCTCCACCCCCAACGACCGTAGATGGGAAGTCAGAGGACGCGCCATCCCTGGCTTCCTCAATGTGCACCCTCCCCTCTTACTCCCTAGAGCTGGAGGGAACACAGGTAGGGACCCCCCACACAGCCTCGGAGGAGGCAATAGAATTAGCAGTCTTTGCGGAGGCATCAGTCCTGGAGGCCACAACGGCTGACGCTCCCTCTGGGGAGGCTGAGGCGGCGTCTTCGAGGGAGCGGAGGAGGAGCGTCTGGAGGAGGCGTGAAGGCCTGGCTTTCACGCATCCTCCAGACTCCCTCCGAGTCTCCCAAGCCAACCTTGGCCGCGGCGCCCGGGCCCAAGACCTGTGGATACACAGGCTTGCGGAACTGGGCGCCGGGCTGGGGGTGGTCACCGAACCGCACTTCATCCCGGTTGGTAACCCCAACTGGCTGGGTAGCAAGTGCGGCTTGGCGGCCGTTGTGGCCTGTCCCGCAGCAGGTTCCCCCCCCTGTTCGATCAGGAAGAGGGGGGACTCGTATGTGGTGATTGACTGCGGGCCCGTCACTGTGGTGGGGGTGTATCTCCCCCACCACAGGAACAAACAGGGCCGCGGCAAACTTGCCCGCATTGACAGGGTCCTAGACAGGATCGGGGACGTGGTATGTAAGTGCCACTCCCGACCTGTCGTAGTTGCCGGGGACTTTAACGCCCACTGGGAAGAATGGGGCTGTAGTCTCCGGCAGCGGGACCCTCGGGGCAATGTCGTGGCCGATTGGGCGGCGGGATTGGGCCTCGTGCTCATGAACACGGGGTCATCAGCACCTGTGTGCGGCCGGGGGGAGGCGAGTCAGTTATTGACCTGACATGGGCCTCCCCCTCGGCTGCCCGGAACTTCCGGGAGTGGGTGGTGGAGGAGGAGAGGGAATCACTGTCTGATCATAGATATGTGATGTGGTTTCTCCCACTCTCCACCCCTCACCGGGTGCTGGCCCGCCACCCTGGGGAGGGGGACTTTCCCCTCCCCAAACGATGGGCCCTCGGTCGATTAGACGTGGATAGGTTCCAGGCGGCCGTCCTCGCGGCCACCTGGCATCTCGGAAGAGAGCCAGTTGAACGGGACCCCCTCCCTCCCCAGGAACTGGCGAGGGAGGTAGTGGGAATTGTGGCGTCGGCATGCGACGTCGCGATGCCCCGGTCCCACCCCCGAAAGCGCCGGGCGGCATACTGGTGGACGCAGGAGATTGCGGAGATCCGCGACTCATGCGTCCGAGCCAGAAGGCTGTATACCAGTGCCGGCGCGATAAGGAGGGGGATGTCGCGGGGACAAAACGGGACTACCTTAATAAAAGGGAAGCTCTGAAGGTCGCCATCAAGGAAGCCAAGGAGAAGGCCTGGGAACGACTGGTGGACTCCCTAGACGAAGACCCGTGGGAGCGCCCATACAAACGGACGGTCGGAAAGATACGTCCATGGACGTCCACTCCGACGGAGTCGATGGACCCCCAGGACCTCGAGGGGCGCCTCGACACCCTCTTCCCGAGGTGGAGGGGGGCCCTCCCCGGCTCCCCGTCCCGGAATTACGGGACGAGGACTGGAATGAGGACCTGGGGGTTTCACTAGAGGAGTTCGCCAGGGCCAGGAAGAGGCTCGGGGCAAAGGGCAAAGCCCGGGCCCCGACGGTATTCCTGGCCGCGCCTGGGCCCTCACCCTTGGCGAAGGGAACCTGTCCGCAGCCACGCGGGACGTTCTGGAGAAATGCCTCAAGGAGGGAGTCTTCCTTCATGAGTGGAGGAGGGCCAAGTTGGTCCTCCTCCCTAAGGAGAGCAAGACGCCCGGTGGGGCGCCAGCCTTCAGGCCGATATGCCTGCTGGACGAGGCGGACAAGATGCTCGAGCGCATCATTGCCGACCACCTCGTGCAGCACGTGTCCCTGGAAGGGTCGGACCTCCACAGCAACCAGTACGGGTTCAGGCCCGGACGCTCTACGCTGGATGCCGTCCAGCGCGTCCGGGACCTGGCCCGTGCCGCTGTGGAGGAAGGGGGCAGGGTGTTGCTCGGGCGGTGTCTCTCGACATCACTAACGCGTTCAACACCCTGCCTTGGCCGGATATTGAACGGGCCCTCGAATACCACGGGGTGCCTGTCTATCTCCGGCGCATCCTGTCGGCCTATTTCAGGGACAGGGACCTCGCCTACTCCGGGAGAGGCGGGGTCCAAGGCTAGCGCCGAATGGAGCGCGGTGTTCCGCAGGGGTCCGTACTGGGCCCCCTGCTATGGAACATCACGTTCGACCGGGTGCTGCGCTCTCCCCTTCCCCTCGGCGCCCACGTAGTCTGCTACGCAGACGATACGTTGGTGCTCGCCGAGGGGGAGAATTGGGGGGAGGCTCGCCTCCGTGCAGAGACGGCACTCAGCTCGGTGGTGGGCACCATCAGAGACCTCGGGCTGAAAATGGCCCCCCAAAAGACCCAGGCGATGCTGTTCCATCGCCGTCGGGGTGATGGGAGGCCACGAAAGGCCCGGGTCCTGGTGGATGGTGTCCGTGTCCGCGTCGGGCATACGATCAAGTATCTGGGCCTGACGTTGGACAGCCATTGGGACTTTGGGGCCCATTTCAGGCACCTGGCCCCCCGCGTTCGTAAGATGAGCACGGCTCTGGCCGACTTGATGCGAACCCTGGGGGCCCGGGATGGCGGGCTCGCCGCCTCTACGTCGGTGTCGTGCACTCGGTCGCCCTCTACGGGGCGCCCATCTGGGCGCCACGACTACTGGCCACCGGCCGCAACAAGAACCTGATTCGTCAGGCGATGTGGCCGGTGGTCATGAGGGCGATCCGGGGGTACGTCACTGTTTCGTATCTGGCGGCGACTACCCCGGCCGGCTTCCCCCCAGTGGAGCTCCTCGCCGAAGAGAGATTTCTCTTATATTAGCGAGCAAAGGAGCTCCGCGGGAGGGAGGAGGGACTATCGGTCAGGGATCTGAGGGCCCTAAAGGCCCAAGCCTGTGCCCGGACCCTCGACAAGTGGTCCGCCGAATTGGCGGACCCACGAGGGTTCGGGCGCTGGACGGCCGAGGCTGTTCGCCCCTGCCTATCAGAAATGATGGGCAGGAGGGGACGCGGGCTGGTGCAGGTGCAGGTGCTGACCGGACACGGATGTTTCGGGAAGTACATGCACAGGATCAAGAAGGGAACCCACCACCGGGTGCCACCACTGCCCGGAGCGAGTGGACTCGGTGCAACACACGTTGGTCTCGTGCCTCGCATGGGACCAGCGGCGCCGAGTCCTGGCCCGGGCGGTGGGGTGTAGGGTGGAGGCCCTCTCGCTCCCGCGCATGATTCGCGCCATGTGTGGGAGCGAAGTAGTGTGGGGGGAGGCGGCCTCCTTCTGCAAGGACATCATGTCCCAGAAGGAGGCCGCCGAGTGGGAGCGCCGCCCCTCCGACCGTCCCAGGAGATGGCGGAGGGGACGGGACTCCCCAGGTTTAGGGAGCGGGTCCGAGGTGGCGCCGGCCGAGGAGGAGCAACGATCTTCGGACAACCGAGGATCGCCTCTTCGACCGCCTCGGGCCCGCATGCGGACGCGTGGGGGAGGGTCGTCGGAGGGAGGGGTGTAATCCCCCCTCGCCCTCCCCCGGGAGTCGGCGAGGTAGGGTAGGGGGAGCGGGGCCTTCTGGGAAAGGTCTCGCTCCCTCGTCCCCTCCGGAGTGGAATCACTCACGAGGAGGTGGCGGGGAGGGAGGGTGGATGTCCCCTCTCCCCTATAAAGTACCGGAAAGCCAACCCGATCGGCAAGCCGATCGGGGCACCGCACCCGGACCCTCTTTCAGGAGAGGATCCACACGGGTGCGGTATTTGGGCGTGGGGCTCCGTGAGAACCCTGGGGCCGGGGTGTTGCGGAGGGAATGCTGGCGCATTTCCTCCAACTCCCCCCATCTCGGTCCGACTGGTAGACATTCCGCAGGAGTTTTAGTGAGTAAGAGTCTCACATAACCCTTTGCCCCTCCCAGGGGGCGGAGGGTACCTGATGGGCTTCTCCTGCGTTATCAAAAAAAAAAAAAGGTGGTGAGCCCGTAGGCGGGTTGCTACACCCGCCTTTTCGGGACTCTGAGTCCGAAGACTCGGAGAAGTTTGGTTTTTTTAATTTAGAAGATTTCATTTCTGGTCCCACGAGTTCGGCGGGAATGGGTCGTCGACCCCGGGTAGAGCCCCCGCATTACCCGGGGTAAGGCTAGCATGTCCCTTGGGTTCGCCAGGTGCCCAAGGTGAGGAACCACTAGCGACAGGTCACGCACCTGCCATTCATCCCCTAAGCGTGGCATGCCTCAACCGTAGAATTACGTGGTGTTTTATAGAGGATCCGCCTCGCGGTCCGGCCAATTAAGGCAAGACCCCCGGCCCCAGAGACATGATCTAAGGTTACGGTGTAGTAGGCTAAGGTCTGCCGAGGTTGCCTGAGTCCCCTGTACCAGAGTGCCGAAGCACCTTGGCCCCTCGCAATTGTGTCAGGTTATACGTCCTGACAAGTACGAGTTTGCAATCAGGGTTTTCCTTCCCCTAGAACGGTTGCCTTCACCCGGTTCACGAGCCCGTTCTGCCCGCGCTGTAAGGTCCTTTGGATCCCACGAATGAGACCCTCCAGACCCTGTTAAAACCTGGAGGCAGCTGCCCATCCAAGAGTGTTATGGACGCTCTTAGTCTAACTCCTCTGTACAGACCACTCCAGCATAGTAGAACCTACCAGGGGCGGAAACCCTCGCCGGCACAGCTCTGTACATCATAGGGACACGCAAGCTCCCCCACCATGGCAAGATGGCGTCCACGGGTGAGACGCCTGCATTCCCTCCCCGACACCCCAGCCCCAGGGCTCTCCTGGAGCCCCTTGCCCAAGTACCGCGCCCGTCCCTAGCTGGGAGTTTAGGGCGAGGTGCCCTGGCCGGTTATCCAGGTTGGCCTTCCGGTTTAATTTAGGAGAGAGGGGACACCCACCTTCCCTCCTCAACCCCCTTTCCCCCCTACCTACTGGGTATGTAGAGGGGAGCAGGGGAGTGAGGCCCAGCTCCAACCGGGCTCCACTCCCCTTTCATCCTACCACCCCCTTTGGCTGCCGGAACACCGGCGTGCAATGCCTCCAGGGATGGAGTCCTCTCTTAGGGCGCTAGAGGGTGTTCCGACCCCGACCTCGGAGTATGTCCGAGCGGCCTGAAACACCCCTCCACCCCCCAAGTACCATGAGGGGGTTAGCCTTCATAGTGTGCAGACCCGGGTGTGGGTTCCTCCTTCCGTCCGGCCGAAGCCAGACGGGTGAGGGAAAGCGGGGAGGTCCACCTTCTTCGGCTGCCGGAGCACCGGCGTGCAATGCCTCCGAAGGTGGGGTCCTTTCCCCTGTTCGCCCGAGGGTGTCTCGACCCCGATCTCGGAATAAGTCCGAACGGCCGAGATACCTCTCCACCCCGCGGGTACCATGGGGGGGTTAGGCCCTATGGTGTGCAGACCCGGGTGTGACCCGGGAGATTTTCCATCCGTCCGGCCATGACCGGGACGGATGAGGGAAAGAGGTCCGAGAGTGGGGTCTTCTTATAGGACGTGCGAGGGTGCTCCGACCTTGATCTCGGAATACGCCCGAGCGGCTCGGAGCACCCCTGCACTTCCCAGGCACCATGTGAGAGGATCCCCATGGGGTGGAGCCCTGGGTGTGGGTATGTCCCTTCGCCCCGGTCCAACCATGACGATCAGATCGGGGACGGGTGAGGAGGAGGTCCGTATTCTTTGGCTGCAGGAGCACCGGCGTTCAGTGCCTCAGAGAACGGGGTCCCCTTCTTGGAGCGAGTGTAGAGGAGGTCACCCCTTTTGGCTGCCGGAGCACCGGCGTGCAATGCCTCCTGAGATGATATTCTCCTCCCACTCGCTCTACGACCAGTTTGGTCGAGACCAAGCTGATCATCCAGCCTGGTCGGGCGCTCTTGGTCTAGTCCCTTAGTACATACCACTCCGGTATGGTAGAACCTGCCAGGGACCGAAGCCCTCGCCGGTACAGCTCTGTACATCACTGGGACTTCAAGCTCCCCCACCACGACAAGGTGGCGCCCACGAGTGAGGCTTCTCTACCACGACAAAGTGCCGCCCACTGGGAGGTAGCCAAGGTTTGACGTTGCCCAACTCTTACCACGTGGAGGTACACGAAAAAAAGGGTCTTGATTTTTATAGTTTCTTTGTTTGGTTTCTTTATATTCTTTATTTTTTTTATATTTTTACTTTTTATTTTTTTTTAGTTTTTTAGACTTATAAAATTAAATATTTACTTCAATTTCTTGTATTTGTTCTGTAAATTTTAAGTTTTATAAAAATTTTATGACATGGAGTGTCTTTTGGTAAAACATGATTTACAGAAGTATAAATTGCAATCATTGCAGAATATATACGTTTTTAAAATGCATGTTTCCGTACAACACTTCCTTTGCAGATTAAAATAAAAGTAATAAAAATAAAAAAATAGAAAATATAAAAAATATAAAAAACCAAACAGAAAAACTAAACAAAACAAGACCCTTTTTTTCGTCTACCTCCACATGATAAGAGTTGGGCAACGTCAAACCTTGGCTAAGGAACGAAAATATTGTTTGCCTTATTTTTATTTTTTTATTTGTTCTTCTTGTATTTTCATAATAAAAATTTTTTAGTATAAATAAAGAAAAATTAAGAAATATTAAAATATTTATGATTTTTGCCATTTCTTAACCGCCATATTGAATCCGATATTTTGAAAATTCCATATTTTCGTAAATCTAAAATAGAACTGCTTAATTTACCATTTTAGGATGGAAAACGATATTTATCAGTCGACTCTTATCCAATTTCTATGAAAAAAGCGGAATATTAAGTTTTTTCGCTTTAACCGCCATTTGTAATGCCGCCATGTTGTATATGACAATTTTGCTGGTTGGATTTTCAAAATACAACTATTTTATCCCCCTTTGATACACTTGGTCTTCAGTTACCTATACTATTTCGATGTGAAAAAAAATCGTTAAAAAGATGTCGTATTTTCTGTATTATTTTTTGTTTAAATCACCATATTTATTATATTTTTTAGTAGAAATAGCTCAATTTTGATGCCACCTCTCGAAAGAACACATCCAAAAATACTAGAAAATAGAATTACATATAAATCGGTCACGTTTTACATAGTAAACACAAAGCTTGAAAATGAACAAAAAATTTTGGA